TTCCCCACTATATAGCGCCCAACTAGCATTTTAGGCCGAGCACCAAATTGTCGTGCCAACTGCCTTTAAAGAGAACTGGTAGAGGTTACAGCTGGAAATAAGTGTAATAAGTGTTCCGGTAACAAGGTGATCATTGAACGAGACACTTATTGCAGTAGTTTGAAAGTCTAATTTCAACCATTTGCAGGATCATCAAGTTTCGGACAAATTAGGTAAAACGGTAAAAATCTAGAAAGGAGACATAAAGAGAATTTCATGAGATTGCAACAGAACTTACTAGGGTACCAAAGACTATATCAGAATCCAGTAGTCGTTCTAGGCACGTCACGTCATCACAAGAGCTCTGTAGAATAGCCAGCGAGTGTAAGATACTGGCTCGCAAACATCCGAAACAATTTGAGCTGAAAACAGAACTGTTTGATGCTCTCTCCAGAAAAGATTCAGCTCTGTTCCAAGAGATCAATGGCGAGGGGGCTGTCTGTGTCACAGTCCACTGCTGACCTTTGTCATGAGAGCAATGGGATGAAATGCACCAAAAAAGGCCAAGGTAATTTACCTTGCATTGTAAAATCCCTGATTGATGGCTTGATGCAGAAGTGGTGCCGTTTTAACGCTACGGTCATAACCACGCAATTCTTCGCGGAAAGCGATTAGTTGCTGTGTTTGCATGCATAACTCTTCATGCAGTGCTTTGCAGTGAGTTGTAGTCATCAGCAGGGCATGGATTGCAGGCTAAAATTGTTTCAGTTGAATAGCGCAAAGTGACCAGTGCCGAAATGGGAATCGAGTATTTGGGGCTGGATAGAAAAACGAAATCTAAAAGATAAAATTCAGACGAAGAGAAACTATAGGCTCACCTGTTGGTGATTAATCGGAGGAAGAGCGGCAATGAGTGCGTTTGCCGCATCGGGACTTTCGACATGGAAGCTTATAGGTGGTAGTGGACGAGATTGAAGCCACAAGGACTCGCTGAGGGCTCGACCTGCTGCCAACTGAGCACGAGTTTGTTCCATTTCACAAAGCAGACGAGCCATTGACTCCACACACTGCAACGCAGAGAATTACTGCACAATAGTACAACAGTTGTGCACGTGACAATCCAAACGGTGGGTAGGTCAATTCTTTGAGATTATCCTAGAAGCTATTGTAATAAACGGTTCGCAAGATCCGCACACGCCTAATACTCATTCCAGGTTCACTAGATTCGCCAAGAAAGTCCAGTAATGTAAGAAACCTTACAATTAAGTGGACCAAGTCTGCGATGCGTTAGGTTTTGAGGTACTGCTTCACCAAGGAATCACATTACAATAAAGCTGTCGCGCCCCTCGACCTGTCCTGCAACCATTCAAAACACTGTATCCTAATCCCCTGCGTAGGCCTTTCTAACATTCTTCTTATCTTCTTCTATGCAAGTTTTTTCTTTCTTTACTTATAGTTTCTTCTCCTCAAGGATGAACGCTCTATCTAATTCCCACGACCCTATTCCAGTACTGCTTACCTTTTACCTTTGTTCTGCGGAATGACCTAAGAAAACAAGCAGAGAATTCTACCGGAGAAAATTGTAATAAATTTGATACGGAAACTGTTAATCACTTACTGCCGCTCGCTCAGCATCCGTAGTTATTGGCTGGACTCCTGGTAATGGTCGACAGACTAATGAAATATCCATGCGAGCGTATTTACAGAAACCACACGACTGGCACAGGAACGGGTCCTAAACACTTAATACTTCCAAGGAAAAGACAAGCCAATCATTGAATAGTAGAACATATTCGAGTCCTGTACTTCAGCCACCTCTAAAACGACCTTCTCATCGTAATTGATGGCACGACATTTCACACATTGGAAAACATTCTCACCGCAGTGTTCGCATAGACCTGGATTTGGCTGTACAACCGAAGAACATCTGAAAAATATAAGTGATGAGGGTATCAAAGGAAGATGGGAAGTGCTGGTTCACAGTTGGTTCATCACTTTGCTGGACTGATGTAACCCTGAAACATATCAACGATGAGCAATAGTCATCATACCCACCGCGGACAGTGGAGTTCCTGGTTCTGGCGACTCTCAGTCAGTTCAGAGAACTGAATCACTAATGATAGCTGTTACGCACCAGGATCGCAAAGCGGTAGCACGACTTCTGTATCGTTGGCTGACACCTAGATAAAGCTTTTTCATAGCCATAATTTATAGTAAGCACAGTATTACTGATGCGCGTTCATACTTCGCGAATAGAGAGAGAGAGAGAGAGAGAGAGAGAGAGAGAGAGAGACCTACGAATAGTGAGAATTGGCGATTTTGATGAGTGAAGGATAAAGAAGTAGATGGTTGGGGAATCAGCGGTGCGGAGACATCAAGTGCTAGAAGGGGAAACGATAATCCCTCCTCACCCCGAACTTTCTAGCATCAGTTAGCTCGAATCGCAGAAAATCAGGAAGAAAAGGGGAGAATCTTCGTAAGCAGAAAAGATTGTAGAAAACTTACGCTGCATGTTGATGCGCGTTGCCATAGCTCTGGACATGTTTTCAACTCAACGGCCGACTCCACTGTCTTTGGACAGTAAAACAGATTAACCCGTCTGAAATAAGCTCAGAAAATTCAGAGAGTTAATTCTGAAAAATGGTTGTCAAATACGAAATTTGCAAAAATTTGGTAATGCTCAGGCTGGTGCAACTTTATCCTTCATTTGGACATCATTTGGAGAATTTAACAATAAGGTAGCTGAGGAAGACCAAATTACGATGAGTTTCGGCTATACTTGCTCTCTTCCCCCTCAACAAACAAAGATGAATTCAGCTAGACCGGCGGGGGAGCAGATAAAGGAAAAAAGGAAAGAGGATAAAGTCTTCGCCGTTGATCAATCCCTTTGTGGGATGCGGCACGCATTCTACTTCCATTCAGAATCGTAGTGGCTTATTGAATGCGATGTGGCCTATACAATGACTTGCGGGGGCCAGCCGATGTACAAGTCAGTGTTATCCTCCCAGACGAATCTGGTACCAATTTACCGTCCCCGGAGGGTAGAAGGCTTGGTTGGCTGGCGGGTGCGACCTGGGATTTGAACCTCAGGACCGCGCGAGTGGTAAGCGCGCCGCTTGTCACTACACCACCTCCTGCTTTGCGAGGCTTGCGGAACGCAGATGTAGAGAATATCATTGACAGGTCTAGTCTAGCTCACTTCTGTCCCATCCTCGCCCCTTCTTCTCCAACTACCATGAAACTATGTTTCTCCTAATTTGAGCCGGCATGGTCGGGAACAATTTGTTGAAAGACTTTTCCGAAGGAATCTTCAGAAGATGTCTATTCAGAGAGCGGATCTGCTCTCATCTCTTACCAGGAAGGTCGTTCAGGGCGTGCCCCGCTTTTTCAAAACGGTTTATTGCACTTTGTAGGGCCTTGCCCATGAACCATAAAGTGGCTTCGTTTTGCTG